TTTCTTTTTAAAACATAATCATTTGGCAATGTTTATTATAAAAAACTTGGTAAAAGATTTAGACAAGATACCCGTATTCCTCGTTTAAATATTTATTTTTATCAAACTAATAAAAATCTAATTATCAATCTAAGTCACATGCTCCCACCATTTTCATTCACAAGGCATTGTCTGTAATCCTAGCGTACACAATCCTTGTTCGATTTTTAATTTTATTGATCTTTCAGGTTCATCTTTATTTCTCATTACTTTCTTCAATTCAACGATTCATGTTTTAGCCTTTTTGTTTTCTAAAGATTTAAGTATCTCTATTTTTTTAATACATGGACTTATTGTAGTTTTGTTATCCGAAGTATACGTTATCTTCTTGTACCCGTCATTTCATGTCTAAATATTTCTAAATATTTGAAACAAATAGGAAAGTGGAAATTAAATTTAACAATTTAAATTACATGTCCTCGTATCGTACTCGTAGTTTTATATTTGAAAGTTGAAAGTGAATTTAACTTTATGACCGTGTCTCATAACAATTATATCTAATCACATTTTGTTTTTTTATGAGAAATAATTCAGATAATGTTTTTTTCGAATTATATGTTCCCGTCTCATATCCATTCGTATAAGTTTATATTTTTTTTAATAAATAACACCATTTACATGTAACTAAATATAATTTTAATATATGTAAAATTTTATATAATCGTCCAAAAGTAGAGATTTATACGTCCCAAAGTTGAATTTTGTTCAACATTTTGAGATTTTGAGAGTTAAATATAACTACCAGTTTTTTTTTCAACCGGTTATCCAAAACTTATATATCATATTTGTCAAGGATAGTTTAAAATTGTACGTATATGTGAGATAATGTTTGTAGATATTTATTTATTATATCATTTATATCATACCAATTTGACATTTTATTTGTTTTCAATTAGATTAAATTATAAAAATATAATCCATTTATTATTTAAAAATTGGTAATAAGTCGTTAAAATCATTTAAATGTGATATATCCACTTGTTATTTAGTTTTAATCTTAATAGAAATTCTATATGTTTATAATCTGAAAATGTAGTTTATGATTTGATAAAGCAATTATTTAATATTTGATAATAGTAATGATATGTAAATTGCCATGGATGAAGATTTATTTTGTTAAGATTGTGTGAAATTAATAAGAAAAAAGAAGTTTAGAATAATCATTAACTAACTGTTTGACCAAATAAAAAATCATTAACTAATTGAATTAATGATAAATTTTATAGATATCTTTTGTGCTATAATTGCTAGATTGCTTTTTGAATATGAATATTTTTTAATGTGAAAATAAGAAATTTATGTGATCTAGAATGTTTATTCGCATAATTTTAACAAACAAATATTTAATTATTGATTTATTTAATTTTTATTTATATTTTAAAATTATATAATTTTAAAAAATTTGATGATATGATCAGTTATGTATATATACTATGTAGAATTTGATTAGTTGATTATTTCATATGCTAACATATTTTTTTATCTTTTGATTTTTCAAAAAAAAATGTTATCTTTGTTTTTTTAGATATTTGATGATTTTGTTTTATTAGATTTCATTCTATATAAATTATTAATTTCGAAAGTATATTAAAATATTAAATATGTTTATGTATATTCAAAATAGATATGTTTACATATATTTAATTTTGAATTTAATTGTCCACTTTCATGGTAAAAGATTATTATGATTTCCATAAATATAGATAGTTTTTGTTTTTGTTTTTTTTTTGCTGTCATTAATTCTGTTTGGCAACTGGAATATATTTCATGAAATTTTTTTTCAAAATTGGGGGTGTTTGGCTTAAAGTTGTCCTTCTAATTAATAGTATAGATCGAAGAAACAAGTTTTAGGTAACACGTAATTTAAAATAGCTATATATAAGTAATAAACTTTGTAGATCCAAAACAAAAATCCAATGTATTTTTTTTTATATAAACCATCGTGTTAAGGCACGATGTAGGAGCGGTGTATTGAGTGGTCAACGGCCTTGATTGAGATATTATTTTTCGACACAAGCAAATCCATCCAATGTTTGTTTATTCGTCTGCAGGCCTATATATCTGATGATATATTATTTATTTGAAATTTCGAATCTGCATTTGTTTTGGTATGTTTAATTTGGAATCTACCTTGAAAATTCGTGCGTACTGAATCCAAATGGTTTCTCATCATTTTTCTTTTTTCCCGTTAAATTTATTTACTCATATGAAAACTTTTCCATCTTTTTTTCTTCTTATCATCAATCTGATATCATTCTTGAACCACTATTTTTTTGAGATTTTTGTTTTTCTAGCTTGATCACTGTGACATCTGATATCATTAACGAAAGTTTAATATAATAACACAGTAAAAAACAAAAACAAAACAAGTGAAGTGTGGAATATGTATGTCACAATGTTCACTTCACGAGATGGTCATGGTATATGATACTATGATCATGTGTATTATAATTACGCCATATATAATACTTAATAATGGGTATAAAATTTTAATCAGGATTGTCATATGAATCAAGGCCGGCTCAACAAAACTCAAAAAAAAATATACCAAGTGACCGTGTTCAATATAATATAACATAGACTCAATTTGTATCAGTGTATGTAAATATTTTAAACCAAAATTACTTCAAAGTTCAAACTTTATATGTATTTTATTATGCATTATTTGATAATTGATTGATTTCACAAAGAAGACAAAAAAAAAAAAAAGGGTAAGTCGTGCAGGCGACTAAATCCAGAGGACTGGTGAGTGGTGAACGTGAAGGTGAATCAGTGGTTTGGTTGGGGGAGCTATACGACGATCTTATCCCCTCACGTGTCTTCATACATCTCTTGCTCAAAAGTCTAATTCTGCATTATTCTCTCTTTTTGTTTAATCGCAAAACTATTTGAATGTACCAATTAGTAAAATTATCATATATTTATCCAAAAAAGACTTGAGTTAATTAATCGTGATAATTAATGAAATATGGTTAGGGGTGCTATGGTTAGGCAGTTGAGTTTATTAAGCAATGGGTTTTGGGGCTCTAATGGTAGACTTGTATGTCTAGTTAATAAAATATCAGTGTACAACAAGACTATAGCGTTTTATATAGTTTAGTCTTTAGATTAAATGCAGCACCCAACGGCTATCTAGCGTTTCTCCTCAAATAAATAAGTTTTGATTTTATTTAGTAACTAAAACACTTTCATATATTGTTTACACAAATACTATAGACATTAATATATTGTTCACGAAAAACCAAATTCTGATTTAGATAGTCATAGTATTACAAAATATCACTATTGAAAAATAATTAGGAATTTGCTATATAAAGCATTGTCTATCTTTAAGAAAAAAGCATTGTTTAACTCTCTCTCATTTTATTAAAACTAAACAACTATCGTCTAATATATCTCCTCCAAACTCATATAAACCTCTAAGTGTAGAAATACAAACAATCTTTAACTAACATATCATTTTTGGTGAGTTAAACTAAGAAATATATCACCTAATTTTCCTAATTGCATCCCTACTTGCAATGACGTTGACAACCAAAAACAAAAGTGTAAGACAGTTATAATAACTTTAGGAATTTCAATCAAACTAGTTGTCGTTTTGCAATGATATATATATATATATATATGCACTATAAATTTTATATCATACACATATATAAAACCAGACAAAGAAATACATATTTATGATGTCAAAAAAATTATAATATAATGAAGATATAATTCTTTTTGATGAATAACGAATAAAATAATTACTTGCCATACCATATTGTCTTATAATTGGTTATGTGTGTCAGCAATGTAATGTAATGTAACGGTACCCGTAGTTTCTAATGAAACCATGTGTGGAATACTTTCTCCATGTAATGATGTAAAAGACCATCTTCGATTTTTCTACTTTTGTTCTTTATTTATACATATTTTTTTCTTTCTTGGTGGGGTTTATTTATACATATATTGTCCTTGCACTCTTTATACAAAAATCGAATAATATTATTATAGGGATAACACAACAAGAAGGGATTGGTTGTTTCTTCGTCTGACATAACTCTCTCTGTCTATGGGCGGGACTATCCGTTGGCCTGTGACTGCCTCTTGTTTGTTTACTCACACGCACGCACTACGAAATAATAAATTACACATCCAATAATTTATCTATTTTAACAATAAGGTCATTATCCGGATTCGAATACAACAATAAGGTCATTATCCGGATTCGAATACAACAATGTACAAAAGGATGGTCTAATACAAACATCCTTATTATGGCCTATGTTATGATTGACGAAAATATATATTTTCTGTAGATTTGTATGGCCTATGTTATGGGCCTCACATACAAGGTGTGTGTTCAAAAAGGCATGAATTGATTCCATTGTGAATTTTTTGATGGGTGAATGGTTTAAGTTATTGACTACTTATCAGTAACACCGATGTACAAAATTAAAGCAAATGACTCTTTGGCAAAACATATGAATATTATATGCCACAAGTAGATGTCATTGTGTTATAAAGTCGACTAAAGCACAAAATAGTAGAGAAATTCGGTTTATCCGGTTTATTCGGGTCGGGTTATTCGGTTTAAGAGAAATTCGGTTTTCAAAAATTTCCACCGAATAGACCCGAATTAAAATTCGGTTCGGGTCGGTTCGGTCATCGGTTTGTTCGGGTCGGTTATTGAAAAATTTATGTTCCGAAATTGAACCGAAAATATTTTTACTTCGGTTATTTCGGTTTTTTCTCGGTTTACATATTTGAAGATAAATTTTGAACTCAATAACAAATCAAAATCCACTAAAATACAACTAACAAAAGCCCACATATAGTTCAGCCCACTTAAACATTAGGATTTTAACAAGAGCCCAACATACAATTAACAGTCTAGCGCAATTAGAAGTTAGGGTTTTGAAAAAAATATGAGTTATTGGTGTTGCTGTCACGGAGGCGGCCACTATCACAGTTACATCGGCAGCGGACGCTATCACGGTGACATCGACGGCAAGCTCGACCAACTTTCAGGGATGTTACGTTGAATGAGCCTCTGTTTCTCGCATTCTTAGAAAGACAAGAAATAAAACAACTAAATTAGATGAAATAATCATGAAATCTAAGATCTAGGCTACGAAAAAAGCAAATAACACTAATAATATAATCTTACCACAAATCTCACGCTGTCAGTTCATCAAAGCCAGCTGAGTTGGTCATAACTACCACTGTTGAATACGACTTAAAAGCTTTTGACTTAGGGGAACAAAAAAGAAAAAAGAATGTATGAAGAAAAAGACAAGAACGATGAGGATCAAGATGTAGAAGAGTCTAGAAAAAAAGGAAGAAGAAGAAGAAGGAGATGAGAGTGGAAAGAGGGGAATCGAAAAAGAGAGGCGTATAAGAGAGAGGAGGATAGATTTTTTTTTTTTCTAGGTGTTGATATAATGAATTAGCTAGGGTTTTAAGTTTTATACCATGTTCCTCTAACCCGAAGAAACCGATCGGTAATCGGATACCGAACCGAGAAAACCGAAATCCGAACTCCTAAAATAATTATACCGTTCGGTTTACTTCTCCTCTCTCACACACTGCCGAAAACCGAAACATTCGGTTTGATCGGTTCGGTTTAATCGGTTTTTACCGATTGCCCAGGGCTGCAAAATACCATAATCTTCTATCCCTCTCTATCGACGATCGTCTCGTCTGCTCCAAGATCGAAGATGGCAAATGCTCAGCTTTATCAACTAGTCAAACTCTTTTTGGTTTTGCTCTATTTGATCAATGTAAATAATATCATGTAGTAGTTTGTCCAAAAAAAAAAAAAAGCCTAAATAGGAAAGAAAAAAAATGTTTGACCACTTGATATAATGATTTTATTCTGTATTTGAAGTTCAAAACATTGAGAAATATAATAATAATAATATAATTGCACATTCATTGCTGCGCCCCAACATACAACACATGATGAATGGGACAAAAGGCTTGATGACGTTGATATGATCAGATAGAGCATGCATGGGACAAGCCAAAGATACATTAACTTAGGTAAAATGGTGTTTATAGATCTTGTGTAGACGATCGATCTTATATTTATATTTATATTGATTGATAGGTCCATGGAGTATTATTCATGCAGCGTAACAACCAAGGTTGCAATTGTAAACGGGTTCAAGAGTTAGATCCAGATTGTTCCTCATCGCCGTTTGATTTTCTCCTTGGTACATTCCACTGAAATCACAATCATATAGCAAATTAAAAACAGAAGACATTATAATACGCATGCACATATATTATAAAGTCATCAAACTAGCTCTAACGACACATAACACAACCCCTAAATATGAAATGCATTCACTATATATATATATATATCATCGCCTAGCCTATTTGACTGCCAACACTTCACTACTTATGAGAATTGGACATTATGGTAAAAAGAAAAAAAAAAGATGAGAAGAAAGAACTTAAATAGGTTTTATAAAAAGTGAAATACTACCGTTAATTACCCCATATTTAGGAAAGGAGAAGTCTGATGAGAGATCATGTAAGGATGTTGGGGTTGAAACTGTTGCGGTTGCGGCTGTGGTGGTACATCGTGGTTGCGGTTCTGCTGCTCCCATTGGTTTTGTTGTGTCCTTAGGATGTTTTCCCTCTCCTTTATCTACCAATTTCATAGGCCAAAAGAAATATATAGGTAGCATTTTATTCAAAAAACCTCCAATTATATTACATTTTTCTTATATTTTCTAACAAAGTGCAAACTAACAATTAAATCTGCAGATGTTAAGGAAAATTTTAGAGTCGTACAATGACACTCTTATGATATATGTTTTTTTCTGTTTTAATGTGCTTTTAAACAAGTAGTTTCATCAACTATATTGTACGTTTACTTACTTCTCAAAAAAACTCAAACAGAGCTCCTACCTAATGTGTGTGGTACATATAGACTATATATGATTATGAAGAGAAGACAGTTCAAAGTTCAAATCTGGGAGACAACCTTAATACTAAACGGACAAAGCCCACCTATACGTGCAGCTAGGCTCATGATTATACCAATCAAAAGAAACTATGATTTTTTTCTTTATTTTTCAAAGAGTTGGTGCCGAAAGTGGAGAGATGGTAGCTTAAGGTAGATTGAAGTGGAGTTCAACAGTGGAATTGTAAACAGTACAATAGTTGTGAAACAGTAAGAAATACAAAAAACAATGATCACCTGTTTGGTAAGCATGCTGTTTTCGTCCTGTATCTCCTTCTCCTGTCATTTCCACAAATATGAAACCATTGTTAACTTCTTTCTGTATGTGTTTATATATGTACATGTACGTCTAGTAATTCAACACTAATATGTTAACATAAAGTATATATATATATATATATATCTATATACAATATACAACCTTTAATTTGTACTGTATTTACTAAAGATGAAACTCCTAGCTAACATTACATTAAGTCATCATACATACACATATGCCTTGAGAGATGAAATGGTTTAAAGTACCTTTCTATGGAGGTGGTTGAGGGACTCGTACATTAGTTGATTCTGCATACAAAAATTCCAGATATAACTTATTCATTCATATGAGATATATATATATTTGGTTAGGCATCGACAGCTTGGGTGTGTGTGTGTATATGTGCTTAGAAGGGATATAAATAACATACTTTTCTGGAGCGAATGTGCTTAAGAGCAGTGTCAAGCTGCTGTTCCAGATTCTGGAGCTCCTTAAGGCTCATTGCTTCCAAGTCTTCTCCCAGATAATGCCTGCGATTAATTAGTTAAATACCATATTCTTTCTTCTGTAATTTTCTAGCGTTGCGATTAATCATGCATATGTATTAAAACGTAAACATATATATTACGTACCTTTGGTTCCTCTCCAAAAGCTCAATCTTAGCCTTAAGCCTGCTATGCTCCATTGACCAATTCGGCTGTGCCTTCACAATTAATGTTCCATACGTAAGCCAATATTTTTTTTAGTTAAATCACACGCAAGATCCAAACATATACATAAATGTTTGATGGAGATCATTAGACGTACATTAGCGTGAGAGTCAGGCGCAGTCAGCTGTCTCTCAGCGTAAGAGTACCTCTCGTAGCGTTCTAGGACCTTCTCCATGCTATCATTAAGCTTAGGGTTTAGTTTAGATTCAACATACAAGTTCTTCATATAACCTTTATATATATAATTATATATATTCACAATATAATATAGATATATATAAGCACTAACAATATTTCGCATACTAAAAATATCTTCTCAGTCTAGCACAAGAGGCCATTTAATTATTTCTACTTAATATAACGAGTCACCCAAAGCATAGCATCTAATTGAGTAGCGTTACCTAAAAATAATTATTAGTTATGCAATCAAACATTAGTTTCTATGGTATAAAGTCTAGTTTTGTGACTCAACACTAGAACTACTGATAACTACCATGTTTTATATAATTAGTTAAACAGTTGAATCTACCAAACCCACACCTCAAGAGGTATTGAAGCGCCTTATCCCCCGCTTGGAGTTTCAAATTCTTTTAATTTTTAAAAAATTAAATTAGATAATAAAAAGTAAAAATTTGTTTCTTAAATTTAGAGAAGAACTGTTGAAGTTAAGTTTGACCATTGGTACGAAGAAGCTGTTAGAGAAATAAAGAATGATCCCCAGAGGTCAAAAGACTCCTTATACTTAGATGTCACATCTTTTTTTCCAATTTCTCTATATCTATAAACCATTTGAAAAATATTTCTTTAAAATAAACTTAAGACTAATCATATACATGTATAATTTCGATGGTCCATCAAATATATTAGAATTATACATGTGTTTGTGTGTGTTCATAAGGATAGCTTTCCTAAAATTGAAGGCAAAAGCCCGTTGTGTAGAACATAAACATCAGTCCTTGCTATAACTAACATAATCGACTTGAAGCAAAATGTACATATCCAGACTGATGATTTCTGATTAATCCATGCTACTATATATATGTATATATCGGTATAATTACTAGATCGTATTCTAACTAGGGTTCACTAAGAAAGCCCTAGACAAATTTAATTTTAAAAATAAAAATAAAAATAAAACTATTGGTTTGAGCTTGACTAACACAATCATTTCGTAGATCCAAGTCATCAGATACTAAATCTGTGATAAATTTTCATAAAAAGACAGATGAAGAGGAGACAAGAAGTAGAGTAGTAGAGCAAAAACTACTTTTTAGGGCAAACAAAGGCATACTACAATATAATTAATAAATAAATAAAAAGAGGGAATGATGCAATTACCAAGATTCAGAGGAGTACTCGAAGAGTTTCCCCTTATGGGAGAAGACAATAAGGGAAACCTCAGCATCACAAAGAACAGAGATCTCCTGAGCTTTCTTCAAAAGGCCAGCTCTTCTTTTCGAGAATGTCACTTGTCTATTGATCTTGTTCTCTATCCTCTTCAATTCAACCCTACCCCTTCCCATTTCTACTAAAGATAGTAGTATATGAAAAATCCAAAGAAAAACACAAAGAGAGATAACGACGAAGCTTGATCTAATTAGGAAAGTTTTTCTTCTTTCCTTTATAATGATAATAATGTGAAAGAGTCCTTCTGTCTTTCACTCTTTATTTAAAGACATGGAGATAGATATTTTGGAAATAGCGGTTTTAATGAATTAAAGTAAAGTTTAAAACCAAACCAGAGCTTGTTTCTTTCTAGGATTATGTGTTGTCGACTTCTCATTGGTCTGACTGGACTTCCATTGCCTAATGTCGAGTCTATGTTATCTCTCGTACTCGTAGTGTACTGTACATACTTATACTAATTAACAGTGACCCCAAATGAAATAATTGTTTTATCAACGTCTCATCGTGACCTAACAATGGGTTAGCTAGCTAGACAACAAGTGCAATATATGTGTACGGACGGACCAACGAGCTTCCCCAAGTGTCGCTCTCGCTTTGTATTGACGGCGGAGATTTCTCTGAGGATTTATTTTCTAAAATTTTAAAACAATTTTTTTTTTTTGGCTGAATTAATTATAATTTTATATTTGTTGTTTCAAGTAAGCGTTTTACTTAAATAAAAGTGGGACAGGACGTAATAAGTAGTGAGTGCTTATAGAGATTTAATTGTTCGGCGGTAACAGTGAAGTACGTATAGATGTTTCTTGGTAGAGCTGAACTCCAAATTGACAATTGTGTATTCTGTTGAGTCGATACATTTTCACATTGGATATAAATGAAATATCCAATATACAAATTAAAACTAGACAACTTATTCTAGTTTATCGGCTTGTTTTTTTAAAAACTAAATTCACAAGTCCTGCGCAAAAGAGTGATTCTAATAAATTGATCATTTTCTAAAGAGTCAAATATGTTTGTACATGGGAGGTGAAAACAATAATACGAGAGTTTAGGGACGATACGAAACTAGTTCCTTTATTAACGCTTAAGTTAGATCTAAAGTTACAAAAAGAATAAGTCTCGCTACGATATGTCGAGCCAAGAACGTATACGAAATAAAGGGACAAAACACGAGAGAGTCGCGGCTAGGCAACGATTCTACGAAAAAGAAGGAGAAAACGCGAGAGAGCCGCGGCTAGGCAATGATTATACGAAACATAAGGACAAAACGCGAGAGAGTCGTGGCTAGGCAGCGACTCTCTTGTTTTCTGGGTAATATCCTCTGGATCTCCCCCTTTCCCAACAGTGATACAATGTATTTATAGGGACTAGAAACCCTACAAATCTCTTCTCTCCTTTCTGCGAATTACGATTTTGCCCCTCCGAGCTTAGTGGGCTTGTTTTAAGGAAAATCTTCATTTAAGCTTGTTGGACCTTTGTTTTGTGGCCTTCTAATATATGAGGGTCATGACCCATATCCAACAATAGTCCCCCCATTAGTCTGGTGTGCGAGAGCTTGCTTGAGTTCAGCGGGCTAGTCTTTGAGTAGTAGATATATTAGTTGGGCGCAAAACGAAGGATGACATTGTCGTAGACAAGTTTGGGGTCCTTCATCGTGTATTTAGAGGGTTGAACCTCTTCGATTAAAAGTGTCGTGAACACGCTTTTCGAGGAGAACAAATCTCCATTTCGTCGACATGCTCATAACTTAGTAGTAAACTTGGTTTGTGGTTGTCTCAAAGTGACCAAATCTGTAGACGCGAGGTGCTACCGTGACGAGGTGGTGAGGTGAATCGTTTGTTGAGACGAAACCGAGATGAAATTTTGTGTTAGCGAGGTTCTGGCGAGATGTTGCTGAGGTCGAGCCGTGGTGAGGCGACGTTAAGCAAAGCCGCATCGAGTTGGTGTTAAGGCCGAGTTGCAGCGAGACAAGATCAAGACGGGCCGTGGTGAGTCGATGCTGAGCTAGACCGAGGCAAGACGACGTTGAGGTCGAGCCGTGGCAAGACGATGTCGGAACAGGCCGTGGTGAGATGACTCCAAGCCGGGCCGCGGAGAGACAATGTCAAGACGGGCCGGGCGGAGATTTACGACCGTTCTCGGTGTCTCTTTGTGCTCAGGATCCTACCGTTGTGCCGAGCCGTGGTGATGCACGACTTCGCTGGGACCAAATGTTTGGGCGAGATTGTTGGTGTAGAAAACTTGGTTTAGCGGGAAAGAAGTTGAGGCATGGCAAAATCGAGTCAGATCAGCTGGAGAAGAGTCGGCCTAGCGAGATTGGTTGTTTGAGGGAGGACCAGTTCGGCGAGAAGGTTGACTTAGCAGCGAGCTAAGTTCCGCTATGACCTTGGTTGAATGACAACCTTGGCTTGGCAAAGGTATTATTTTGGAGAGATGAGACCAGTAATCAGGGTATGACGAGAGAGGTACGACAGACGCATTTGAAGGCGGAGGTTTGCCAGTTCGGCACGAAATTTAGGGTGGCTAGTTACGAGAAGCTGGGAGCTTCTTTCTGGAGATGAAATGCCTTGGGCATATTACGATGAACTTGGAGCTCGTTCCGGAGATAAAAATGCCTTGGGGATGTTACGAGAAGCTTAGAGCTTGTTTCTGGAGATGAAATGCCTTGGGCATGTTACGATGAACTTAGAGCTCGTTCCGGAGATAAAAATGCCTTGGGCATGTTACGAGAAGCTTGGAGCTTGTTTCTGGAGATGAAATGCCTTGGGCATATTACGATGAACTTGGAGCTCGTTCCGCAGATAAAAATGCCTTGGGGATGTTACGAGAAGCTTAAAGCTTGTTTCTGGAGATGAAATGCGTTGGGCACGTTACGAGGAGCTTAGAAATCGTTCCGGAGATGAAATGCCTTGGGCGTTTGATAACGAAGATTTTGCAAAGATGTCTCGCCTTAGTTCCTTCACGATTATGTGCTTGATTTTGGGACGTATTTTGCAGTGCGAAACTTCATTCGGCTTATCATATATACGTTATCCCCAAAATGCGAAGCTGAGGGAGTAGACGAGGCAGACTCGTCATGCTATTTAGGTGCGGTGCGCGTGACCAGCTTATCCTGTGGATGCTTAGAGGTCGTCTAGAAGAGCAAGTCCGAACTTGTCTTATTAATTCTACCGCCTGCAAGTTATTGTGCGAGTCTGGACTCGACTTTGTGTGCTTGATTTTGGGACATATTTTTGCAGTGCGAAACGTCTTTCGGCTTATCCTATATACGTTATCCCCAAAATGCGAAGCTAAGGAGCAGACGAGGCGGACTCGTCGTACTATTTAGGTGCGGTGCGTGTGACCGGCTTATCCTGTGGGTGCTTTGAGGTCGACCAGAAGAGCAAGTCGGAACTTGGCTTATTAATTCTGTCGCCTGCTAGCTATTGTGCGAGTCTGGGCTCGGCTTTTTCTTTACTGCAGTAAAGTTGTGGATTTTTTACCACTGCATCATGTAGCATGCATGCGAGTATGGACTCGGCTTTTTATCTTTACATATGTAAAGTTGTGGATTATTTCACCACTGCATCCATGTGGAACGCGTTAAAAATCGTACACCTGGCCAGGGTGACAATGTGAGAGCTAGTCGATCGGTGAGACGAACTCTTCCGAAAGATTTGTGTGCTTTGAGGTCGGCGCGAATGTGCAAGCCTGAGCTTGGCTTATTAGTTCGGCCGCCTACAAGCTTTATAATGGGAGCTCGGTCTAGCGAGCGATCCTTTTTTTTTGTTTTTTTTTTTTTTTTAATTAACATCAAATAGAAAATTGAGGTGTAGTGCTTACTTGAACTCTTGTAGTGAGATTTGTGTTATGTCATTGCCACGTCACTTTGCTAGGTATTATTGAGCGCTGCGATGGGTTAATAAAAGAAATTGTAAGTCGCATGAGCTCAAAGATTTAATTGTTGGTACGTTATTATCTAGGTTGGTGAGAAGTGAATTTAGAGGTCGGATTTGCAAAATCCAATTTAGCGAGTGCGGCTATTGACGAGGTTAAGAGCGAGCTTGGGAGATATTTGTTAGGACATAACCGGTACGTCAGCGCAAACATCGTGACTTGGTTTGATTCGGTGAGAGGCTTGTTCGGCGATTGTGCAGTTGCTTCGAACCAAGGCTGGCGAAGTGCAAAGTGGGGGTTCGTATGACGAGAACTCCTTGGTTTGGCGATTAGCTACCCGGTTTGGCGTGTGTTGCTTGGCATCCTCTGCTACGACTGCGTCATCAGCAGGGTGGGGGCAAAGTTGTTCGACGGATAGTTGGTAAGCCTGATGCAGCTGGTTCAGTACGGCGGAGAAGACGTTGGTTTGACGTAAGCACCACTGGTTCGTCGTGAGCACTGTTGGTTCATTATGAGCGCAGCCGGTTCGGTGGAGAAGACGTTGGTTAGGCGCGAGCACCATTGCTTCATCGTGAGCACCACCAGTACGGTGAAAAAACTTTGGTTTGACGCAAGAACCACTCGTTCGTCATTCATTCCGGCATCGTTGCTCAGCGTGGCATCCTTAAATGCAATCTCTGCTTCGGCATAATTTGGCTCATCGTGGAATTGCACGACAGCATCATGGGCGCTTGGTGCAGCAGGCTCTTCGTCGCTCGATGTTGCATGTTCCTCCTGGCACGGTGCAACAAACTCTTTGTCGCTCGGTGTTGTAGCGGTGTGGTGGCCGCGGAGTTTGATGATTCGGCAATTTCTTGCTCGGGTCGGCAATCTTAGGGTCGGTCGATATGGTTCAGCAGTGTTAGGTTCGACAGTCTCCGATTAGGCGGTGTCTAGCGCGATAGTGTCTGGTTTTGACGGTGTCCGGCTCGGCGGTCTCCGGTTCGACGATGTCCGACTCGGCGGTCTCCGGCTCGACGGTGTCCGGCTCGGCGGTCTCTGGCTCGGCGTCTTCGGCTCAGCGTGTCCGGCTCGCGTCTCCGGTTCGACGATGTCCGACTCGGCGTCTCC